TCTATCGCAATCAGCGACGACAAAGCCAAATTTGACAAATCCGCAATAAACTGCAGGCCGCCGCAAGACGTGTCACCATGTGCAAATCCACCTGCGTGGAGATAATTTAGTGCACATGCACCCGAAAAAAAAAGTCCAGATCCAGGACATGTTGGAAGAACTTGAAACCGGAACCTGCAGCCTTACCGTCATCCTCTAACCCATCATCCCTCACTGCAGAGACTAATGGGAACTGGAGCCCAATAAAATTGGGAGTAGTTGCAGTTTTCGAGACATCACGGGGCTAATTTTTACAGAAAGAGACAGAGCTGTCTAGGAGAGAACAGTGACACGCATATCAGAGGACTTTAATTAATGATTCTGCCAGCCGATGGAAGGAAATGCCAAGCTGGGCTTTTATCTGAATTTTTAACTGGCAACTGGGAATTTCACAGCCAGCTGCATTCTGCTTGCGGTGCTGAGCCTCACAGGGCAGTCTTATAAACCCAGGACGGTGTCCAGTTCCTGGACTGGAAAGGAAACAGAGGAGCCGGGGTGGAGAAACAAGGTCCAAAAGCAAACAGAATCCCCACCAAGTTGGGAGGACGAACAGGGGAAAAAATGGCACAAAATCCCACGATCCAGCTCACACACAGCGGGAGAGTCGCGGCAAGAGGCCAGACAGAAGGAACAGAGCAGGCTGGGTCAGGAAACAGGCTCACGGTTGAGACTTAAGCGCCTGCGGGCCCTGCCCAGAATTTAGCTCTGCCAGTGTTTGGATTGATGGTCCGTCACCTCGCCCATACTGCTTGTGAAGAGTTTTATTTCAAAGTCCTGTTCTTAAGGAGTTTTGCTCAGCAGCCTAGCACTTCACAAGGATTGGGAGGGGGACACCCTCAGCCCAACACCCGGCCTTCCACTTCCCCCTTTCTCAGAAATCATGCTGTTCTCTGAAAGGGGAATCATCCTCTTGGTCTAAAGCACAACAGCGTCTGCCTGGGGATCCGGCCTGCTGTAACCCCGAGACTCCAGGATCCACGTGGGGGGGGGCAGTTGACTCCTTATTATCCTCTGGTTTTGGGATAGGGTGACCCAAATCACTCTCCCCAGTATGGGTCCCCATTTGTGGGTCAAGAAAAGGCAGAAATGGTTAAATCAAGGGATGGTGAGAGAGCGGGAGGCATCTTTCAGCCTGAGAGCCAAAACTGCTATTAGAGAGATTTCTCTTCCCCCATCCCTCTCCCTTCTGGAAGGGGCTCCAGCTCAGTGGCAAAATGGGCCACGCGGGCTCCCCCGGGGCATCCGAAAGCGGCCACGTCCTTTTTTTAAAACCATGGTTCTACCTTCAGATTCCAAAAAGCCGGACTCCCATCTCTGGAAGCTCAGTTTCTGGCAGAAAGAGCTTTAAGCCAAAATGTTCCTCGGTGTTTCTGGCTTGGCTGTTTGGCCTTCGGCCGCGAAGCCTCTGAGATGGAACCTGGCTCTCAGAGTGACCGATCTCTCTCTCACACACACGCAACACACCCCTGAGCTTCATGGACCAACCGCCTGAGCCACCGTCTCTCTCACACACACACACACAACACACCCTTGAGTTTCATGGACCAACCGCCTGAGCCACCATTCTCGCCCTGCACCCAGGCCTTTCCTTCAGGGATCTCGTTTCCAGCAAAATCTCTCCCGGCCACACCTGTAAGAGATGCATTTCCTCCCATTTACGGCCAACGTAATTAAGATTTATTGCCGTGACATGCAGCTTTCCTGGAACTCTCTTGAAGAATGCACTGCCTCCTGGTCTCTCTCGCTCTGCTTCTCCCCACACTGTCTCCTGGAAGCCCACCTTCTCCACAAAGCCTCTGGCTTCTACCCGCAAATCTTCCAAGAAATGAAAACTTCAGTATTTAACAGGGTTTGGCCTACAGCGGTTTCAATCACCCACAACGCCTGTGACTCGTGCTTAAAAGAGATCAAATCAAATGAAAATCTAATAATCCCACCTTCTCCCTGACAGATACATGTGGTCAGGCATCCATTGTCCTTACGGCTAATCCATCGCTAACACCTCTATGGAACCACCCAGGGGTAATTGAATAGCGGCCACGTATACGAACGACTGGGTGATGCCAAGGGGCAGCAAAACCACTGGGCAACCCAAGAAATGCCACGCCTCTGTGTGAATTTCTCCTTCCCCCCTGATTTCCCCTCTCCTCTAAAATCAAGCTTCTAGCCCTCAAGACTCTGAAGGTTTACTTGAAAACAGAGATCTGCAGACTTGTAGGTTTGGACAACAACTCCCAGAATTCCCCAGGCAGTGGGGCCAGACGTGGACCAGTCGCTGCTTGCAAATTAGGAATAGCCTCTAGGTGATCAGAACAAGAAAAACTTTCTTTAAAAAAAAAGGCCGCAAGGCAAAGGTGAATCCGTATGCTCCTTGCTGCTTATACTCCCCTTTCCAAGTAACTAGCTTTTAGGGGTACGCTACTGAGACAGGCTTCATTCCTAAAACCTCCCTTGTTCTCTAGAGCCTTCGACAGCTCCTCTGCCCTGCCACCCTCTGCACGGGCCCCCCCAAAGCCCTTGGCTGCTCTCTTAGCCCCTTACTGCTTCTCCCTTTCTGTCTGTGCACACACACGACTCATTAAGCTTCAAACCCTCTCAGGGCTGCGTTCTCCAAAAACGCAACCCCAGCGAGCGCTGAGCCGATCAACTTGGTTTCCTCGGAGCGCAGCACTTGGCATGAGGAACATCTGGAAGGCTGTCTATTCATCACCTAGGCCTGTGTCCCCGCTTGATGGAAAGCCTCGTCCACGCAGGCTCGGGAGGAAGGAGGGAGGGAGCAAATGCAGTGCCAACGGATAAATTATTGACTCAGCTCGCCCCAAAAGAAACGGAGCGGAGGTGTCCTGCTGAGCTGGACAGGGTTGAGAGGAACCGTTGGGAGAAAACGAACATGTTTCTCCTTTCACACGGACACAGGACAGGCGGGGGGGCGCGCGTGCGTGCATTTCCTCTCGGGCCCATTATGCCAAAACATGACTCGACCTAAATAATCACTAAACTGCGAGTTCACGGTCGGTTTGGAAGGCAGCGAGAATTTCTGAGCTGGACCAAAGCGCGCAGAGTCCGTGGCCCCCGCTGGCTTCATCCTCATGGCGCTGGGCAAGCGACTCGGGTTTTGAGACCCGTTCAGGGGGCTTGCTCCAACGTTTCACCCCTCTGGCTTTTAAAAGAGGGAAGTTTAAATGACCTTTGAGAGTGTCTTAGCCCTGCAGTAAAAAGGGGGGGGGGGAGAATCTCCATTCTCACCAAGTCCTGCGACGGACTCAGGACATCCCGTATCAAGACATGCAGAAGTGCAGGGCCAAATTTACTGGTCTCCCATCCTTCTAAAAGGGAAAGGGAGCCTGTCTTCCCTGTGATGAATCGAGCGAGTGCCGCAAGAGCCTTCAAAAAAAGACTCAATTACTTTCCAGACAAAAGTAATAGGAGAACAGTCTGATGGATAGCTCCCCCCCCACCCCGCTTTTTTTGAGTCATCAGCTTCCTGGGCCATCCATCAAACATTTCCTTGTCTTTTTAATAATGAAGAACTCCCGCACTGCCGTATGAGAGAGGCTCAAGATAAATGATTCGCTGGAGTCCCGCTCTCGGGCCACGGATATCTGAGCAAGATATGAAAATGAGCCACGCGGGCTGCAACGAAGCAACCTCGCACTCACTAAATTACAGTTTAGCCCTTCACATCGACGCACGCTTCCGAGATGCTGGGTATTAGCCACACTCCTTTATGTGGCATTTAAATAATGTCTGATTATTGTCACTGCTCCTCAAAGGATGTCAAGGGGGTAAAAACCAGGAGAAAGGGTGATGTTTCATGCCTTCCAAGGAAGGAAGATTGGCAAGGAGCTCAGAGGAAATTATGGGACATGCAGAGAGGGGTTATCTCCTCTTCCTTGAGCGATGCCACACAACTAGAAATCAAACTCCCTCTTCGACTTTTTTTCACGTACCCTTGAAGACAAACGAGTGCCATTCCTTTTAGCAACGCCAGCCGACGCACAGAAAATGGCAATTTCCCAGGGAAACAGCGTCCCCTTGAGCCAGCGCGCCGACACTGCTTTTTTCCCCAAGAGAAACGTTCCACCCTCCAAAACGCTTCCCGCCAATAAAAATGCATCAAATTTCGTAACATGAACTAGGAACGTTCATCAAGGAACACCGTGCTCCTCGGATTGAGGAACAGGGATGACACAGTGTCCTATGAGGGCTCAACACCACAGCACAAGCTTAGACCCATTTACTCAGAAGTAAGCCCTCCTGAGCCCTTGAACGCTTTGAAGCCCCATGGAACAAGGACGGCACCATGGGAATAAATAAATAAATAAATAAACCAGATGGGCGCAATGCATTTCGCACTCCGGAGAGGGGGAATTCCATACGGGAGTCTGGACCCTACATTTCAACAACGCCTTCAACATGAACGTTTCTACTGCCAAATGGCACTGATCCTGCTGTTTCCCGAGGAACAGCCGAGAAGCCCACGCAAGGTACTTCTGTGGTGGGACGGTAGGTCCTCTGAGACCAGAGCCTTCTTTATGCAGTGGGATATCCACTGCAAGAGCTTCTAACAGAGCTCCAGATGAGAATCAACCGCCACAAATCTATTCGCATTTAAGAGATCCCTAAATCCTTAGTCACACTGATTTTTTTAAAAAAAGAAAGTTATGCACCCTGAGTGCCCCCTACAGGCAACAAGCAGGAAAAACGTAATTTTCAATGACTTACACCAGCGCTCCTAACTCACCCGCTTTCTGAAGACTGAATTTGGCTGGAAACATAACAAAATAGCTTGGCCACAGAAAAGTCAGTTACAGCAATGCAAGTAGGGATGGAAACACATCCCAAAGGAACACCCAGAGCCTCGAAAGGTCCCTTTCTTGTTTGCAAGACCTCCCCTCCACAAATCCTCTGGTAGGATTTTTCAAGCCATCAGAAAAATGTCACTCTCGATATGGACTTACTTCCGGAGGTGCTCATGTTCCTTGAGGAAGAGTTCTGTCCGCCTGTTGTTCACGCCGCATCCGCTTTTGTATGACCTGAAAGAAACGGCTCAAAGTTACAACGCAATGGGAACTGGAAGGCCCCCCAGGCCCGAAAAGGCAGTGACGTCTCACAATCTATTGCCTCCTGCAGGGCTAAAGGACAGCTATCTCAACAAGCTGCAAACAAGGCTGTTTAGTCTATTTCCTCCTCTTCCCATGTGGCTAGTTAATTTGAACACAGCTCAGGGAAACATTAAGTCCCGAAGGCTGCGAAAGGCTGTTTCAGGCGGAAACAGACCTGATTTTGTTGATGGTAAGCAAGCTGCACTAGGAGCCTTTCCAGAAAAAGACTTGGCTTTAATAAAATAATATTTAATTCTGGAAGACACATCTGCCCCTCACTAAGCCAGTGCCAGACAGGTTAAGGAACAGTAGCAGACAAACTCTGAAGTCATACACCACAGCACACGCACACACAGAGGGCTTACTCAATATCTTTCCGGACCGACCCCATGAGGTTCTCTCTTTCCCGCACAGCTATGAAGTTAGATTTGGTTTTGTGAAATTCGTGTGTGTAGTCCTGCGGGAAAAAAGAACAACAATAAATACAGGCAGAGGTATAGTTCTGATTTGCCAGAAGAGAACAACAAATCCTGGCATTAAACTCAGCCCCCAAATGTTACTATAACATTTCGTGGCAAGTGACTCTTACTGCGAAGAGTGAGGTTCGCAGCTTGGGGATCCATCTGGACCCGGCGCTCACCATGGAAACTCAGGTGGCGCCAGTGGTCCATACTGCCTTTTTCCATCTTCAGCAGACAGCCCAGCTGCGTCCCTATTTTGATGTTGGGGCACTCACTACCTTGGTACATGTGCTTGTAATCTCGAGATTAGACCACTGCAACGCGCTCTACATGGGGCTGCCTTTGAGGTTGATGCGGAAACTCCAGGTGGTGCAGAATGTGGCAGCCAGACTTCTTAGTGGAGTGAGAAAATATCACCATATCTCCCCCACTCTGGCCGCTTTGCATTCGCTGCCCATTCGGTTCCGCATTGACTTCAAAGTCTTAATGCTAACGTACAAGGCCCTAAATGGTTTAGGGCCTCGATATTTGGCGGAATGCTTACTCCCACCAAAATCTACCCAGACCACCCGATCGAGTCAGGAGGTGAGGCTGAGGAGCTTGACGCCGAGGGAGGCTCGGAAGGAAAAAACAAGAAACCGGGCCTTCTCGGCGGTAGCTCCTCGCCTCTGGAATACCCTTCCTCTGGAGATCTGTGCGGCCCCTTCGCTGGGCGCCTTTAAAAACCAATTAAAAACTTAGATGTTTATACAGGCCTTCCGTCCCGTGAACACTTGATTTCTTTCTTCTTTTTATTTCTCTTTTTATTTTATTTTCTCCATCTTGATGTTATATTTTGTATTTTAATATATTTTTTATATTTTGTTATATATGTTATGCGTGCTGGACGCCACCTAGAGTGGTCATCTGACCAGATAGGCGGGGTAAAAATACAATAAAATAAATAAATAAATAAATAATTCATCAAAAGCCTGGTCCAATCTTTCTACACTTAGCGTAAGACTCACAAGATTTATGCACGAGCATGAGACTCAGAAGGAAGGGTTCACAGCAGCAGCACTTCAGGGTGAGGATGATGGCAACACACAGCACGTGAACTCTTCTCACTGAAATGCAAGCTAGTCCTGAAGAGGCCATGAAGATGTTTCAGAGGGATAGTGGTGCTAGTCCGTGGCCACAAAAGCAACATCATCTTGACGCAGCTTAAAGGTCCAGGAAGTTTTTATTCAACAGAAACTCCCACAGAGGACTTCAACGGATACAGGGAATGCTGCGCGATCTAGTGAAGTGGGCTGCAGCCAGCGAAAGCTGCTCATGATTCAAGTGTCACCAGACTCCTTGTTGGATCCATCAAAAGCCATTAGCTTTACAAAACGCCTGCTCTTGGCAGAGAAGGGCTACTCACGGGCGCTCCTACCTGCAAGATGTCCCTGTGCCGCTGCAATGTGTGCATCAGCGCCGCGTTGAGGGATGGAACTCCCGCGCTGTTGGTGTACTCTGCCATTTTGTCGTTGATCCCCGTGAGCTGCAGGAGAGACCGCACACAAGGTCAACTACTTCTCAAAGGACACGAAAGCCAACATACATTTAAGAAGGAAAGCTCGTCTCTCTGTCAGCCCACTTGAAAGGCTGCCCTGCCTCACTTCTGAGTAGCCCCACTATTTTAGACATTGCTCAGACATTGCCCGATGGGGCAACACGTCTTTTGATGTAATTTCTGCAAATGCCAGTCACCAAACAACGTTGGTTTATTTACTTCCTTCTGAGAACTGATACACCGTATTTCCTAATAACATTATTTTACTTATTCATTTATTTAAAACATTTTTACCCCACCTTTCTCCTTAAAAGGACCATGATAGTATTTGAAAGATATATAGAAACACATCCTGAAGCAGTCCACGGGAAAAGTTTGTAAGCACACAAATACTTTTATATAACACTTCTGAAACCAGCAAAGTGAAATTGGACAGGAAGATTGCACGGTTTGAAAAGAATTTAATAAATAAGGAGTGCAAAGGCTGTTCCAGAAGAGCTGGTTCTTGACTGGGGGGTGGGGGTGGGCAGAAGGAAGTAATAGCAAATTAAGAGGAACACCGATCATGGCTTTGCTTTCGGTGGTCAGCCAAACCTTTCCAGCATTCTGAAATATAGCACGAACTGTGTGACGAAGTTCCACACAGAACCCAGCACTTGAGAGGAAAACGAAAACCCTTTTTGGAAAACCTCTGCCTTAAGACTAGTTGAAAAAGGTTTCAGGTATTTCTGCACTAGTCACACCTGAGCGCAAGAAGGGATTCCTTAGTTTGAAATATACTGCGCTACCGTTTCAACGGTCCTGAAGTTCTTTGTGCCGAGTTATAAAAGACAACACCAACTCCCAAAACAAAGTTTAAATTCGCTTTGTCAGTTCAGGGTTGGGAAAAGCCAGAGAAGGCTAAAACAATTTTGTTGACCACTGAACGCAAACGACCGTGGCTGCCAAAGCAGAAAAAGCCACATTGTTGTAGATGTAGAGTCCAGACAGAACTGGGTTGCTTTGAAGATGGTGTGGAAACACAGAGAAATGACACTTTAACCAAACCGAGGGGACCCCCGTTAGCGTTGCTGCCATGTGCTTTTCTTTTCTTACATCCACCCGCATTTAAATCCTTGAGAGACACACCCCCCTTTCCTCACGGCAGCAGGGAGCGAGCCGACGGAAACAAGCACTCACCTTCCCTAGGAGCTGCTCGATTTCCACCGCCATGGTTTCGAACATTCGGTCTTGGCTAGATCCATTCAGGAGAGGAGTTGTGTCTGAGCTGAGAAAGATGCAGGAGAGAGAAAAAGATCCTGTGCCTCTCCATAGCAGGAAACTACACTCAATTGCCACAAAATATTTTGGAGGATATCACAGATCAAATAACAGCACCACGAATGCACAGGCTAAAGATAATACACTGACAGTACAGCTGTTCTAATCATCCTTGGTACTGAAAGACCCAAGTATCCCCTCCATCGTATAAGCTGGCTTGGCTTATAGGACAGAAAGGAAGACCAGGAGAGAGACTGTCATTTAGGAGCAGAAGTGTACCTGACTCCATCCGTGGACTGCTCTAAGCTAAGGATGGGACGAGAGAAAAACACATCCTGAGAAAACCAAATCCTCCTCCCCTGGGGCCTTCTGACAAACGCATGTTAAATATATGCTTCAAACACAAATGAAACATATATTAAACGCATGTCAAATATATGCTTCAAATGCAAATTAAATACATATTTTAAAACTGAAAGCAAGATGGCGGACAATGAATCTCAAGGCAAATCAAGGCGGCTTGGCTTTAGAAACCACTGCAAAACAACAACAACAACAACACTGAAATGAACAACACTGAAATCAAAAGCAAAAACAAGGAAGGAAGGTAGTACCTATACCTATCGCGCCTTCCCTCCCGGCAGTTGGTGTGGCTGTAGCTGGTGCACAGTTTGCTGAAGGAGACCAGTTTGAGGTCCAGTTCGTTCTCGAGCTGCCGGGCCTGCTTCCTCAGATCTGCGCGTGGAGGAGAGAGACAGAGCACACGAAACATACGGAGCTTGGCCTCCCCACATGCACGGCTCTCTTCCATTCCGGATAAACTTTCCCTCGATAGAACAGAAGGGATGGGGGGGGGGAGAGGCTGAACGGGGCCGATTCCCAGGGAGATTTAACCCTCATATCTAACACCCCTTTCTGGTTCCCTCTGGCAAAACTTTGGAAAAGTTTCTATTTTGGAGGAAAACACCCAGAAAGCCCAGCCAACACAACTAAGTGGTCATCCCGGCTGGGGGCTTCTGGGAACTCTTTCCTCCTCCTCCTCCCCCCTTTCAAAAAAAGGGACATTTCCCAATTTTTGGCATCCATCCCCAATTATGAAAAGAAAAACATTCTGCTTTAGGAAAGGGAAGGCTGATAATCTGAAGCGCGGGAGAAACTGCACGTGTGCGATTCGTATAAGGATTTCTTAGCACAGCAGGTGTACAAGGCGTGATGCTGGAGGCTCAGGGACCACGCCTGCAGGGGCAAAGTCCCTCTTGCATCTCTGGGTCAGGCCAGGGTCAACGTACTCCCTCACATCTTCAACAACACAAAAAGGGGAGCCAGGAGATGTTAGGCCACGACTCTCATCCTCCCTCATGGGCAGGAGAGGCTGATGATGGGACCTGTAGTCCCAAAGCCAGCAGCGAAAAGTCTCGTGGCACCTGGAAAACGGTCAAGGTGTACATGAGGTTGGCTGTGGTACCTTTTCCTCCCCTCCCTGCCTCCAAAAAGCTAGGTAGACAGCAATTGTGAGTCTTTTGTGGGGTTGCGCTGCGACTACGAGGCAAACTCCTCCCCGCACACCTGTAAAAATGGCCTGAAGGCCCCCCCACCCCGTTTTATCCGTCCCTGAGCTCAGCAGAACCTCCTTGCTGAGGAGCAGTACACCCCTTTTCCTCCTCCCCCTCTTGCCCGGGGTGTGGCCACCGGTTGCCTCCCCCT